GCTAAAGAGGCTGGCTGTTCATAGAGCTCTGTGTCCAAGTACATTAATAGAGAGGTGAAGGGAAGGAAAAGATGTGGTAGAAAAAAAAGTGTACAAACAATATAGGGATAACCTCATCCTGGAGAGGATGGTGAAACAAAACACATTCTAAAATGTGGGAGAGATTCACAAAAAGTGGACTGCAGCTGGAGTCAGTGCTTCAAGAACCACCACGCTCAAACGTATGCAAGACAAAAATAAGACAGGACTGTCATATTTCTTATGTCAAGCCACTCTTGAACAATAGACGGCATCAGAAGTGTCTCACCTGGGACTGCTGCCGAGTGGTCCAAAGTTCTGTTCTCTGATTAAAGTAAATTTTGTATTTCCTTTAGAAATCCAGGTCCCAGAGTCTGGAGGAAGAGAGGAGACACAGAATCCACGTTGCTTGAGGTCCAGTGTCAAGTTTCCACAGTCAGTGATGGTTTGGGGCCATGTCATCTGCTGGTGTTGGTCCACTGTGTTTTCTGAGGTTCAAGGTCAACGCAGCATCTACCAGGAAGTTTTAGAGACTTCCTGCTTTCTGCTGCTGACCAACTTTATGGAGATGAAGATTTCATTTTCCAACAGGACTTGGCACCTGCACACAGTGACAAAGATACCAGCACCTGGTTTAAGGACCATGGTATCCCAGTTCTTAACTGGTCAACAAACTCACCTGACCTTAACCCCATAGAAAATCTATGAGTTATTGTGAAGAGGAAGATGTGATACACCAGAGCCAACAATTCAGAAGAGCTGAAGGCCACGATCAGAACAACCTGGACTCTCAGAACCTGAGCAGAGACACAGACTGATCCACTCCATGACACGATGCATTGATGCAGTGATCCAGACACAAGGAGCAACAACTAAGTACTGATGCTGAACATGCTCATACTTTAAAGTTGGCCATCATTTCTAAACATCCTTTTTTTATTGGTCTTAAGAAATATTCTAATTTTCTGAGATACTGAATTTGGGGTTTTCATTAGTTGTCAGTTCTAATCATCAACATTAGAAGAAATAAACATTTGAAATATATCAGTATGTGTGTAATGAATGGACATAATATACAAGTTTAACTTTTTGAATGGAATTACTGAAATAAACCAACTTTTTCATGATGTTCTAACTGACCAGCACCTGTACATGGATGCAATTAGAGGACGGAGGTAGTTGGAGTTACAGATGGACAGAGATGGAGGATGACTTGCTGTGGAGACCTCTGAAGAGGGAAAAGTCAAATTAACTACTTAAATATTTTCTCAGTAGATATTTTCAAAATCTTGAAGTGATTGCTACGTCTCTCAGTTGGCCTGGGAGCACCTCGGGGTCTGAACCTCCCTGCTCAAGATGCTGTCCCCGAGACCTGAGCCCAGAACAAGTGGAAGATGATGGACTGAAGCAGTTCTTTTTCAAAATCTGTTTACTGGTCATCAAACTTCTGCCAACACCATCTCTGCTGATACTACTAATGGTACTAGTACTAATGTGAACTTTGTTACTGCTGCCAGTTCCAACTCTAACCCTTGTGGTAGGAATTATTCTAACGAGCCTGTAGGAGAGAAAGCAGTCTTCGTAAAGGAACTCGGTCCAAACAAAGACCGACATGAAAGAGTCAGCCCCCGACTCAAGACTGCTTCGTATTTATAAAACACTGATTACGCGTCATCGGTCTCGTGTACCAAATGGAAAATTACAGAAAAGTTCTCCTTCTCTGACCCGGAAGCAGCCGAACTCTGAGACATGACAAATATTGATTTTCCCTTCACGCCCTCTTTCACTGCAACGCTTACACACATGCTGTGCATTAGCTACAGTTCTGATGCTGCTAGCTAGCTGATGCTAATTCTATTATTGTTAATGCTGGTTCTGTTGGTTCCACTACTGGAAAGGCTTCACATCTGTACCCACCCTCATTTTAGCCCCACCATTGTCCCTGGAGCAAGGCCCCTATCCCCCCAGCTGCCTTAGACGGCAGTCCTCTGCTCCACGTGTGATGGCTGAGACACCGACGTCCCTGAGGAAGACGAATCGCGCCGAGCTCTGTTACTTCCATTCTGAGATTTTACTTTTATAAACTTTAGTTCCTCTTCTGCTGGATATAAATCACATTTTGGATGATTGTTCCCTCTGGTGTGTGATGCTGTGCAGCTGGAAGGATTTTTACTGACACTTTTTTTTAGTTTTGGACATTTGTTATGATGCGTAACCATGGCAACATGATGTTTGTTTTTTTTTACAACCAGGAGCAGCTGATTAACATCTGAAAAGCTCAAATAAAATCTCAGCTACAGCCCCAAATCTCGAATGAGTTGAAAAGGAGGCTCCATAGATGCATTCCCGTCTCCCTGCCAGCTGTGCTCAAGTGTCTGAGCAGAGATCCTGGAATTAGCAGGAAACACGGCTCATGACAGCAGAAGGACCGAGATCGTCCCCAGACACCTGCAGCTGGCTGTCCGCAGCGACGAGGAGCTCGGCAGGCTGCTGGGAGGAGTGGCGCCAGGCGTTGGACGGTCCTGCTGCCTGGGGGAACCGAGAGGCCAGCTGAGTCTGGATGGATCGGACGGCATCTGGGGCCAGTTTCTTTGGATCTGCTGTGTGACGGACCTTTACAAGAGATCCTTCCTGCCTACAGCCATCAGTATCTATAACATCTCTTAACGAAACGAGGATAACGAGTAACATTTAATTTCCCTTTGGGATTAATAAAGTACTTTAAAGTGAAACATAAACTAAATGAAACAGAGAGGCGGTGCCAGTTCAGGAAGCATCAGTTTATTAAACTCGATGTGAATGCATGAGTGTTTAAATACGCTGCTGAATGTTCTGCGATGCCTCCGCTGCGTGGGCTCAGCCCGCGGTCGGGCCGACGCACGCAGGATGCGCTTCATTTACACGTCACAACATGGCCGGTTACTGAACGCAGCTCGGTACAGGAAGGCTGATGGGTTTATTTTTGTTTATGGTGGATGTGAACGCAGCCCGGCTGGAAATGTTGAGGCGCTGGTCCGACGCTCGGAGGTTTAATCGTCCAGGAAGAAATAGTTCCCGCTCTTCTTCTGTTCCGTGTCCTGCAGGTGAGACGGAGTTTGTTGAGGCGTTTCCTTCAGTTTAAACGGTAAAAACCGACAGACGCATTAAAGTCCGCCGTACCTTTATGGAGTTGAGTTTGTTGATTCTGGGTCTGAAGTTGTTTGGGTCTCTCCTGAACGTGATCTCCAGCAGCGACAGGAAGCGGTTCATCCCAGCCAGCAGACTCTGAGGCCTGACGGAGAAAACAGGCCGAGGTTTAAAGACTCTGATCGTAAAGGGAGTTCCACACATTTTCAGGGTCTTACCTGTTCGCAAAGGTCTTCGTGGAGGGAATGCCGTCGAACACGATGACCCTGTCGGCCAGGTACGTCGCCATGATGAAGTCGTGCTCCACCACAAACGCAGTCTTCTTAGCGTGAAGGATGTACCTGAAATACAAAGATTAACGCTAAAAATCGAATGATGCAACATGATCAAACCTGGATCGACCATGAGGCCAACCTGACTTCATTCCGTCCAATCAGAAGAGACTAGGAGCAGTTTCCAGGCAGTTTTACAACAAATCTGTTTATTATTGGTCATGTAGGAAATAACCACAATAAAAAGAAGCACTGATTCGACTGGCTGATGTTCCAGATGGGTTTTAGTAACTTTGAGACATGTTAAAATCTTTTACTTTATTTACATTTTCAAATCCTTCAAACATTTTGTTCTTTTTGGAATTTGATTCAGCAAATTTATTCAAAAACAACTACATTTCCCTAAAGTTAATGCTAATATTGCTAAGGCCAATACTACTCCTTTGGCTACTAGCGCTAATGCTAATTCTACCAATGCTATTTTTTTTGCCTATTCTCCTACTGGTAATGCTAATATACAAATGCTAATAGCTACTACCAATGATAATTCTGCGAAAGTTCATTATTCTAATGTTAGTTCTAAAACTACTACAGATAAAGATATGCTTTTGCTGATGTGTTAAGCTAGAG